CCCCCCCCAATGCTATTCGGACTTCTTGGTCAACATCAATTTAAATCCCTAACATTCAGAAGAGAGCTTCATCTCGACCTTACGTCCATACAGCGGATCCTATTCCACCACGCCTGTCTGTCGGCTTTGTGTTGTAGCTCCGAAACAGGGACCTAGGGGTGCCCTTTTGAGCTGCAGGTTGCGAATCCCCGTTCCTCGATTTGAATTTCGCCAGTTATCCCACCGCCACACTTCATCAAGCGACTTGAATCTTGACCTTGTCCCCGTCTCGAAAATTGTGTTTTTCCTTATATCAAACACTTCGCTCTCGAATCTGCCGAACGGCGGCTTTGACGCCATGAGCAATACCACTTCTTCCCCTACCTCCGTGCTTGCTACAAACACCTCTTCCCGAACAAGTTCTTCCGCGTCCACCGCAGGCACCAAACGCAAGCGCAATGTCGTAGGGAAATACTATGCTGTAAAAGCGGGCTATCAGCCGGGGGTTTACTACAGTTGGACCGATTGCTTGACCCAGGTGACTGGGTACAAGGGAGCCGTTTGTAAGTCGTGAACGAACCCAGTCGCGCGGTCGCTAACTGACAACGATCTCAGTCCAGGCATTTTCTTCTTTCGATGACGCGAAAGCCTTTCTCACGGGGGCCACCGTTGGCGCCGGTCGCGGCGGAAACAACTCAAGCTCCGATCCCCCCAGATATTACGGCGTCCAGCGCGGGAGAGTGCCTGGGGTCTACACCGACTGGTCAAAGGCGCAGGAACAGATCAAAGGATTCACCAAGCCGCGATACAAGAAATTTGCGACCAGAGAGGAAGCCGAGGCATTCGTGAATGAAGAACAAGCAAACGGCGCCACTTTCGCAAAGGCCGCTAAGTTATCGGGGGCTCCAGGTCTGACAGACGCTGTTCTGACGGATGCGCATGGCGTGGCTTTGGAGCCGGGCACCGGACCTTTACCTCCTGGGACCACGGACGGATTTGATCCGAATGTGCTTCTGGATCCCACAACTGGGAAAGTGATCTACAAATCCGCGGATCAAAAGGCTGCCACAAAGCTGAAGTCTAATGGACCCCCAGGGATGTTGCGCATCTACACCGACGGTAGTTCTCTCAAGAACGGAAGAGCGCTGGCTTCGGCTGGTGTGGGCGTATATTTCGGCCCAGGAGATTCAAGGTTAGTGATTCCCCAAGAGATCATCTGTGTTCTTTCAATCACCCTGCAGCAAGACGCTGGAAATGCAATGTTCCACTAACTCTTCATCACTCAGCAGAAATGTGTCCGAGCCTCTACAGGGTAGCCGTCAAACAAACCAGCGAGCGGAATTGACTGCAATCCTTCGAGCTCTTGAGATTGCTCCCCGCCATCGGGATGTGACCATATTCACGGATAGCCAATATTCCATCAAGTGCGTGACCGTCTGGTATCGCAAATGGCGACAGAACAATTGGATGACAGTGGGTAACAAACCCGTGGACAACAAAGATCTGGTCGAGTCCATTTTGTCCAAAATTGATGAGCGCAATGAGCTGAAAGTCCAGACCTTATTCGAATGGGTGAAAGGCCACAGCTCACATCCGGGCAACGAGGCTGCCGACCGCCTGGCTGTGAACGGCGCCCAACGTGGAGTGGCCGAGAAGGCTGCAGCGATGGCGGCAGCAGCCAAAGATATCCCAGATGATTTGTTTGATGATGATAATGATGATGACGACGATTTTTAATGGAGAATCTACTCAGCTCTTCTAAAAATCCTGGATGGGATGATGCACTGAACAATGCCTCCGAGCTGGTCTGCTGTTGTGATGTTGTGATGTTGTGATGCTGTGACACTTGATTTGCATTACATCGAGTAACTCCGTTACAGTTACCTTCAATGTGTATTTAGCTTTCTACACTGACAGATTACCCCTGGAGGGAGAGATACCAATGGACTACACTGGATGCTTAGCTGCCCAAATGATGATTTCGAACACATGTGGATGGATGCAACATAGATCTACTAGGTATGAGAAGAGTTAGGCTCAAAGCGGGATGGAGTTTGGTTTAGGTAGTAAGTTAGTTAGCCTGGAATAATAGCCGGGTCTTTCCTCCCACTAACTTACCCACCGAACTTGCCCCAAACTTAAACCTATTTCTTCTTCCTTACTCTCCACACTCCGGATTACCTCCTCACTACCTAGTATATCTAGATAGGACCTCACTCGTTGCTTGAGCTGATTGCTTTGGCACTTTGCCCCTCGCTTTGCTCTGTGTCACCCTCTCTTGCCGTCAAGTCTAAGCCACTCGCACCGCTCACTGCTTGCTTCCCCGCCAGCCGTCAATCTGGCTGCTGCGAAATACTCGATTAATCGAATGATCCAAGGACACCACCACGCAATTACAAGTGCTCTTACTATGATTGAATAACACGTGCTTGTGGTTTTTTACATACTTAGACGCTCAGAAGAACAAATAGCGACGAATTTGTCTCTCAAGAGCTGACAGTTCTGACCCGGAGATTGAATTGCCACCCATGCCTACCCTATCGTTGATCAATTTCAACATAGTCTGTGCGACGTTAGGGGGATTCATCTCCCTCTTTGGACTGGTCTCCTACTTATTCAAGGAGAGACTGTACCTATCTGAAGCCTGTGCGTCAGCTCCTTAGACAGCAATTGATGCGCCAAAACCAAGACTGACACCCCGTAGTAATTTCCTTGCTTGCGGGAGTCATCTTCTCCCCGCATGCCGCCAACTTCATCCGACCCGAGGAGTATGCCCTTGGGTCGGAGCAGAACCTGGGGGAAATCACCATGTACTTCACCCGGCTTGTTCTCGGGGTGCAGCTCGTCCTAGCCGGGGTGCAGCTCCCCAAACGGTACCTGCAGCTGGAGTGGAAGAGTCTATCTCTGCTCCTGGGACCGGGCATGGCGGCCATGTGGATGTGCAGCAGTCTAGTTATCTGGGCCATGGTCCCGGACTTCCCGTTCTTGCATGCACTCATCGTGGCCGCCTGTATCACCCCGACAGACCCGGTGCTTTCTAACTCGATTGTCAAAGGGAAATTCGCCGATAAGCATGTGCCCCGTCCGCTGCAGCGCATCATCGTCGCGGAGTCTGGGGCTAATGACGGTCTGGGGTATCCATTTCTGTATTTCGGCCTGTATCTGCTCAAGTATGTCGAGATGGGAGGTGAGGCCTACAGTGGTGGTGCGGGGAAGGCCATAGGGCTATGGTTCTATGAAACCTGGGCGTACACTGTGCTCTTGAGTGTGGTCTATGGCATCACGGTCGGTTGGATCTCGCGCGAGCTGCTTCATTGGGCAGAAGAGCATCATTACGTGGATCGGGAGAGCTTTCTCGTTTTCGCTATCGCTCTTTCGGTAAGTTCGAGTGTTGTCCGAAGTGCGTGCAATGCTGATTTCGGTTGCAGTTGTTCATTGTCGGCACTTGTGGATTGATTGGGACCGATGATTTGCTTGCCTGCTTTGTGGCTGGTAATGTGTTCACACAGGAGTAAGAGACCACTTTCCTGGCGATTCAGCTGGTACTGACAGATTAGCGACTGGTTCCGACTCGAGACCATGGACGACTCGTTGCAGCCCACTATCGATATGCTTCTCAACTTGGCGGTCTTCATGTGGTTTGGCGCCGTCTGCCCGTGGGCCTCGTTCCTCAACAACAGTGTCATTCCAATTTATCGGTTGATCTTTCTGGGAATTCTGATTCTGCTCGTCCGTCGCATGCCGATTGTGTTCGCCATGCACAAGTATATTCACCAGATCGAGCACCTCTACCAAGCGGGGTTTGTGGGCTTTTTCGGACCCATCGGCGTGGGAGCCATTTTCTATTTGTCGGTGTGTCGGGAATTTCTGCAAGGAGTGACAGCCAATGGCACCGTGCGGGAAGACGCGCAGAAGCTTTCCGAAGCAGTCGATGTCATCGTGTGGTTCCTGGTCATCTGCAGTATCGTAAGTACAAGCCCTTCTTCCGATCACGTCTTACATCCTCGTGGAGGCCTGCTCTTCTAACCTGATCTGCAGGTGGTGCATGGTCTCTCCATTCCGCTGGCTAAAGCAGGCTATTATCTGCCCCGAACCATCTCGCAGGCTCTCAGCACCAGCGCGGCGCAAGAACAAGATCCTATTCCCATCGGAAACATCAGCTTCACCCATAGTACCGCGACGCGCAACTCGGAGATGTCGCACAATCGGGGCCGGAAACGCGGTGCTGGTATCACGACGTCCAGGGATCCACCGCAGCCGACAGTTTTCCAGATTGGCCGCGCAGTGGTTCCGACTGCGTCTCCGCGCGATCAAATCGGGGTTGGTGGTGCGGACGAACCCGCCCGGCCGGTGAATCTGGTCACTCATGATAATGAGGCTGGAAATGCGGCTTGACGTGTGATGGTGGGTGGGGCTGCAGAGGGAGCTGAGGCCTGAAGATGTGGGGGATTGGCCAATGATACGCTGTGTGGCTGGTCGATCATTGATTGATACGAGGGAGGTATGTGAATGACCAGATGGAATGACGGGCACAATTGCTGTATATACCTTATCTTCTGGGTTATGATTGGAGAAACTCGGAGAACTGTAAGTACTGGGCACAAAAATATCGAGGTGACAGTGTGATAGTTCTCTTCCTTGCGCCGACCACAGTAATGATCGCGGCCGATCCCCCCCAATCGGTGAAGCTTAATTAATCGTTCATGCCAACCTACATTCACTCACCCCCACCCACTTGACCTGTGTTGTTGTCTCTTCAGAACCCCTCCAATCTCAGCTCCGTGCTTCCCACTTTCTTTCCTCCTTTTCACCACATCATCACATAACACCATGGCAATGGAAGAAGGCTACGATACTCCCATCACCATTGTGGGCGCCGGCCCCGTAGGCATGCTTCTGGCCTACCGCCTCAACCAGCTCAACATCCCCTTCCTCATCGCCGACCAGAACACCCAAACCACAAAATGGCCCAAGATGGATCTGACCAACTGTCGCTCCATGGAGATCCTGCGCGTTCTGGGCTTGGCCGACGACTACCGCGCCCAGAAAGGCAGCGTGCCCATCTCCACCGACTTCAATACGCAGTTCGTGACCCGCATCATTGGACCAGAGAGCAAACTCCTAGGCACTTGGGTAAGCTTGATCCCCAACACACTCACATCGTATCACCATCCCCTTATCCAGCCCCAGTCCCACTGACCCAGCCGCAAAACAAGCCGGTTCCCTCCGTCACCACGCAGCGGGAGTCCATCCGCCAGACCAACGACGGCACTCAGCCCGCAGAACCCAGCCAGCGCTGCTCGCAAGTCATCTTCGAGGCGTGGATCCGAAAGCTCCTCCTCGCGCAAGCGGAGACCGGCAGTGCAGCGATGCATCTCCGCCTGGGCTGGAAGTACCTGCACCACGTCGAAGACGCGACGGCTGGGGTGGTGTGGGCGACCTTCCTCGAAGTCGCGACGGGCGTCGAGCACCGCGTGCGCAGTCGCTACCTCGTCGGCACGGACGGAGGAGGCAGTCGCGTGCGTACCGCTGCGGGCATACGCATGCTCGGAGGACCGATGTACATTTCACCCTCCCCTCAATCTTCCCTCGATCCCCCCCCCCCATTGACTGGAAGCCCAGGCCTATGCGCTTCTACCTCGTGCACTTCCGCTCCCAGGAACTGGCGCGCTCGTTCCCCTTCGGCCGCTGTTGGCATATCTTCCCCACCAACGGGGGGTTTATCCTCGACCAGGACGATAAGGATACCTTCACCGCGCATTTCCCTGTCCATTTGCTCCCGGAGGGGCAGGACATTGATCCGAAGGAAGTGGTGTACCGGACGCTCGGGGGTCCGCTACCCAGTCAGAAAGCGGTGATCCAAATCGATGAGATCCTGGTGCACAGTGCCTGGACCCCGAATTTCAGTATCGCCGAGACGTATCTGAGTGATAGGGGCCGGGTCGTGCTTGCGGGTGATGCGGGTGAGTTTTGTTTATCCCTTGCCCTTCCTGGGCTGAAATATCCATACCTATACCTCGGGACTACACACACTACATTTCCTGCATTATACCTTCTCTTATATCCCTTCCACCCTACCTTCCATGACCCCAACACCACCGATTCCATACTCCGATAAGCCGAGCAACTTAACACAGAAGATAAAAGCTCACCGAACCCCCCCGCACGGCGGCTACGGTCTAAACAGCGGCCTGGCCGACGCCTTCGACCTGGCCTGGCGCCTCGCCGCCCTCACCCAGCCGTCCCCTACCCCCTACGGCGGGCCCCTGCTCCTGCAATCGTACACCCTCGACCGGCGTCCGGCCATGATCCGCGCCCTGGCGCGCTCGCACCGCCACCTCCTCGAGCACCTTAAGCTGGCCGCGATGTTCCCGGACCCCGTGGGCGTTCTGGAGCGGGATGACGATGCGGCGGCCGACGCGCTGAGGCGGAAGATCCACGCGTTTGTGGAGATGTCTGGCCCCGAGACGTTGGATCGCGGGGTGGAGTTGGATGTGCGGTACGGGTCTTTTGGGGTTTGGGGGGAGGATGATGATCCGGATGCGGAAAAGGAGATGGGGCGGGCGTGGGAGGCGGAGAGGTATGTTCCCTCGACGAGGCCGGGGCGGAGGGTGCCTCATGTTTTCTTGCGGGGTCCGCAAAGCGATGGGGGAGAAGGGGGCGGGGAGGGACTGCTGGGGAGGGAGAGGAGTATCTATGATGAGTTTGGGCCTGCGTGGAGTCTGGTTCACTTCGTGGAGGGGGAGGGCCCGCAACGGCACGTTGGTGAGGGTGGTGCTGAGGATGATGATGGCTGTGCTACTACGGCGGATACCTTTGTCTCCGTTGCTGCCACCTTGGGGATGCCGCTCAAGCTGGTGACACTGAGTAACGAGACTCATGCGCACCGCGTCTGGGGAGCGAGTTTGGTCCTGGTACGGCCGGATACCCATGCTGCGTGGCGTGGGCCGTGGAGGCTAGACACGGCTGCAGTTGGCCACGCTTTGACGACGGAGCAGGTGGAGGAGATCCTGCGCGTGGTTACGGGACACGAACGCTACATGGGTTACCAACAGGATCAGGCTCGGGCGAATGAGGAGGAAAGCTTTCTAAAGCTGGTGGAAGTATTCCAGCCCGAAGACCAGAGTGTACATTCGGCGGTGGCTATTGCCGAGGACAAGTAGACTTGAGAACTGTTCTGCCTCGCTCTACCAATGTCTACGAGGCATACTGCTGCTTGCTACAAGAAGAATCCAATTGAATCTCTTGTCTTGACGCATTTATTTTTCAACGCTTTTTTTTAAAGTCGTAACTCCAATCCTTCCTTTGAAACGACCTTTCCCCACCCAAATTTGCATACACCATACCACACCACACAACATCATTAGTAGAGAGAGAGAGAGAGAGAGAGAGAGAGAAAGAGAGTCCTAAATGTCTGATCGCAACAGATAATCCCCCACATGCAACCCATCATAATCATCATCCAAGCCAGCCAGCCCCCTCCGTTCTTTCCTCTATCAAGATCTTCTTGATAGACAAGTCTATAAAAGAAATTCATGCAGTCGTTAATAATCCCGTCCACGCCACATCAAAAGAACCCATCTGCATCAGCGAGCAAACCAAAGGGCTATGCGAGGAAACTGGGGTATATATCAGAGCGACATCCCACCGGACTGCACCGCAAACGCAAAAGATCGTGAAGGAGGTGGATCAACTACAAAACGAGAGAGAAAGATGTATCATGATAACAAGTCAAAAAAAGAGGATAGAGAGAAAAAAGACAAGCAGATCGCAGTACAATACGAATAGATTGAGATAAGCCCGCCATAAGCAGCGACATAGAGAAAAGAAAATAGCAAAACAAGTCTCGGACAGCGAATCGTCTGATTGCAAGGACCGTGCCCAACAGTCCCCGCGCTGACTTATGCTGTTTAAAAAGTTGTGAGAGGTGTCAGTCACGGTCTCGTGGTTACTGGTCGGCTGGTGGTCGGCTGGTGGTCGGCTGGTGAAATGCTGCCTGCCAGTCGAACCTTGATATGGTCCTGGAATTGATGGCTGAATATCAGTCCTTGAGGGTTTTCCTCGTGTGAGGCAACAAGATAATAGTCCCGGAGTGTCGGAAGGTGTGTTGATCGTTGTTTGGCTGGGTCTATCGCTCTTGCTTCTTTCTTATCTATCCAAACAACACTTAGAGGATCTAAGCGATACGTTGGTAGAATAGCAGGTATGCCACCTTGTTGTCGCGAGCATTATAACGTCCGGCAGATGACCGTGTGATGTTAGGTGGCGCCGATGCTCCGTTGGCGCCGGACTTCTTGCCTGGCGTGCCATTAACCTGGCTCCATCCTCTCTCATTGTCAGATTGGTCATCCTGGTCGATGTGATCGAAAATATTAGCATTGGAGCTGTCCCGCTTGTGCTGTTCCATCGCGGCAGCCAGGACCTTGGGGTCCTCCTCGCCACCAGCTTCTGCAACATCCTCGCTGCGTACGCGACGGATCACAGTATCGTCCAACCGAATCCACTCACGGCCATCTTGCCGGCGAACGTCAACAGTGTAGTGGCCGCCACTGGCATTCTTGCCGTGGTGATAAATGACACCGACAAGTCGGTACTTGGGCAGTCCGCCCTGTGCCATCATGACGTTGCGCTTATTAGGTGGGAACACCTCGCGTGGAATCTCCAGATCAAGGGGGTAGCCGATCCGCTTCCAGATCTTTTGGGTACCGTTGGTGACACTATCGTACTGGAATCGCTTGAGATGCAGGATGAGGACTGGGGGCAGGGTCTCGATGAAAACCTGCTTGGTGGCAGTGACGTTAGGGCCACGTGCAGAATTGAAATCTCCCTGGATGCTCTCTGGCTTCGTCAAGCCCTTGAGAGCGTCAATGATGTTGTTGATTTCGGGGGACCCAATGTCAAGCTGCAGCGGCTGGTAGGGCTCCAAAGTAACAGAAGTCTTGTTGCCAGGAACCTTGAACTCGGATCGGATCTTTCCTCCAAAGATTCTTGTGACTGGGGATTCCTGAGAAATGTCGCCAGACGAGCGTGTGACTGCTGCCTTTTGCTTGTGGCCGACTTCCAACCATCCATCAGACTCTTCAGTTGCGTTGTCCGCATCGGTGTTTGATGCCGTGGTGGTAGATGGTGCTTCCTTCGCTGCACGGCTGCACTCCTCGTGCATCTCTTCCAACAGGAAACCTAAGAATTCTTGTGCATCTTGCTGGTGGCCACGCTTCAATCGAGCGGAGTTAGTATATAACACTTCTCTTTTTCTGGAGCAAAACCACTCACTCTCATGTCACGGAATCGCGGCAGCTGCCGGATTACATGGTAAACAAACTCCGGGATGAAAGCGTCACCATACTGCTCGAGCTCATTGGCCTTCAGCCTAAGGCGCAACTGCTCCTCTGTGTCAGCAGCATCAATGACGCGAAACTCTCTCATGAACATGATCCTGGAATAAAGTCAGTCTAGTTGAAATCTAAGACAATGGCGGAACGGTCATCACTAACAATGCATCGATCATGGGATAGTTACTAGTGAAGCTGTGTGATGCTCTCCGCCCAATGTGATCCATAAATTGGTAAAAGGGAACACAGAAGACCAGAACTTGCAGGACCTGTTCCCCGGTTAGATTTACGGAATGGACTGCGAGTGGATTACGAACTTACCGAATTCATGTAGCACATATTGCCAGTATTGACAAGACCTCTAGGCTCCAGGAACCCAATTTTGTCGCAGTACTGAGAAACATCTTCTCCCAAGCTCATCAAAACATCAGCGAGCATCTCACTTTTGGGCTTCACAACACCGTTGGTCGCAGCAGCAGAAGATCCAGAGGTGCCGGCTGCTTTGGCCAAAGACTTGGATTTAACCAGGTCTGCCCAAGATTTAGGGGCTGCGGGAGCGGGCTGGGTTTGCTTGGCAGGCTCCTGGGCCTTCTCATCGGCAGGCTCTTGTTCCTCGGTCACCTCACCAGTGCCTCTGATACTAGTAGTCTTCGGCGTCTCTGAAGAACGAGTGGCCTCGTCTTTGACGGCCTGGCGAGGAGTTCCAGGAGCAGGAACAACAGGGACGACCGGAACGACCGGAGCAGTGGGCTTGAGTCCCTTTGTCTGAGACTGAGGGCGACCAGATAGGGTCTGGGTTACCGAGGATGGAGTAGTGGGTTGAGTGGAATTCGCGACCGACGGGGCAACAGATAAGGTCGGTGTCTGGGGCTCTGATGGTGTTGGCACACTTTCCACATTCTCTGCGCCTTGCCCCGCATTGTGTTCAGGTCGCGGGGCGTCCTTCACTGGGAATTCAACTGAGGCCGAGGAGGATTGGAAAGCACGGCCTTTGCGACGCCTGCGAGGAGCTCTGGCAGGAAAAGGCGATTCAGGATCAGACAGCCATGGGAGCTAGTGATTTACTCTCTGTTAGACAGCTGGATGATAATGATTGATTCCAAGCGCTTACCGGTGGGGAGAATGGCTCTCTGGGGGCAGGTTCAGCCTGAACCGGGACCGGAGGCGGTGGTGAAGGCACAACAGGACTTGCCAGTGCTTGGGCCGGAATGACTGCAGGTGATTGCGCCTGGGTTGCTAAAGGAACAGGCGCCATGCCAACGGGAGACATGGTGGGTTGCAGGGGAGTTGAAGTTCTGGGCTGCATAGGAAGCGTCGGAGGGTGGATGTGCGCTGGCGCCATGATCGGCTGGGAGGGCGGGTAGGTCGCGACGTACATCGAGCCATACGGGTGATGCTGGTATGGGCGGGGAGGTATCTGCATGGGAGGATAGGGGTACCAGTGGGAATATTGTTGAGGCGAGTATGCGGCCGGGGGAGGATGGCCGTTCATATGGGGATGGAAGCCCATGTACGCAGGCGGAGATCGCATATTCGGAGGGCCTGCGGTGTAGGGAATATCTTGTTGTCGACGAGGGGTGGGCGGCATGGGTGGCTGCCCATGGGGCATAGCGGGCAGATGGTGGTTCATCTTGTCCAGGCAGTTGGAGGAGAGGGAAGTCGCCTTGACGATTCAGCCACGCGTTGCCTCAATGGGAGCCATACGAGATCGTAAGAGAAAGACCGGACTGATGAGGGGGGTTTATGCCCGTCTAAGCAGCCATTCTAACCTTCAGAACCAAGTCTGAAAGCTAGGACTAGGGGAATTGGGAAGAGGTTCTTTGGCGGTGAGAAGTCCTGAGGCGTCGAAAGGGATCAGCGCGATGACGAGAGAACGAGGAGACGAGGAGGTTGCGCCAGAGAGCTCGGAGAAGAGCACGATGACTCGAAGCTCAATACGAAAATGCAGTACTGACCTAGGGTGATGAGGGTGTAAAGCTGTAAGTAGGTCTAAGAATAAAAATTCTTGGAATGCGAGGGGAAGGGTGGAGGTAGGTGAACAATGGATAACACCCGGGGGGTCCAGAGGGAAGAGTAGCAGCAGCAGCGGAGGGGGCAATAGGCGGGTTTGGCTGGGGAGCTGAGAAGGAGATGATGTTTTTTTGGCGGTCGGCACGTGCCTGAGGCTCCCGTAGCCCGCCAAGACATGACATACTCGCCCCTCCCGAGTCCGAGTCCCGAATCCCCTCCTCCCCTCCCTCTCCTACTCTTCTTCTCCCTTCTCTTCCTTCTCTTGTTGCGCGTTGTTTCTACTTGTTCTGAAGCGACAGGGGAAGCCTCAGGTTCCTGGTGCTTCTCCCTCTCCTTTGCGCCACCCTTCGGGGTCTTCGTGATTGTTCTTCTAATCGCATCGTCTTATCTTCAGACCTTCTCCAACCTCACCTTTCCCTTTCCAATCAACTTTAGGGTGGCTGTATATTCTGCATCCCCATTGTTCATGCACTGCCGTCGTCCACTATTTTCCCCTTAATAGGAAGGTAGTCAACCTCACTCATTTTACGCCATCCTCCTCCTTGATTACACATAATAATGTCGTCCAACCCTGGCCAGATTCCCACATCCAAAGCGGTGAATGTCCCAAGTCAGCCAGCGCCCGCGACATACCATTCATCTGAGAACAGCGCGCAACGACGCGCTGGAGGCTCTGGCAGTTTTGGGGCCGGCTTAACGTCGAGAACCCCTAGCTCCCCCAGAAATCATCAGGCGAGGAGAACTCAGCGACAACGCCGCCCGAAGGTGTTAGATGATGACGATTACAGTGAATCAGTATGCCCTCCCTGGCAATATCCAGCTGTGTTTGAATGTACTGAACTAACCGGCGCGATCTTTCGCAGGCCATCATGAAGTCTTCAACCAGCCGCAAGGGGCAAACGTCCATCACGCATCTAATGAATTTCTCTCTTCCCCCACGCCCTCAGTATCAGCCTCCGCCCCGCAATGCCCGCCGTTATACCTCCTGGGGCCCGGGCTCCGGATATCACGCGGTGGATAAGGCTCGATATGTTCATGCAAACTACCGTTTCATTGTGAATCCAACCCAGAATTATCATACCCAGGCGGCCAACGCCGACGTTCACTTGGACTGGGATTCAGTTCTTCAAGTCCTAGTGTCTGAACAAACTCAGTCCGCCAGTTGTCCTATCTGTCTCTCCACTCCGGTTGCCCCGCGAATGGCACGATGTGGTCACATCTTCTGCCTCCCCTGCCTCATTCGCTACATGCATTCCACTGATGAAGAACATCCGGTCCCTGAAAAGAAGCCGCGTTGGAAAAAATGTCCGATCTGCTGGGATTCAATCTACATCTCCGAAGCACGCCCTGTGCGTTGGTTCCGTGGTCAAGAAGGTGATCTTCCTGTCGAAGGCGGCGACGTTGTGTTAAGATTGGTCAAAAGAGTTCCTGGCAGCACCCTAGCGCTGCCTAGAGACGGGGCCGAAGACATCGCTCCCGGTGCGGATATTCCATGGTACAATGTTGCTGAAGTCGCCGACTATGCGCGGATTATGAAGGGAGGTGAGGACTACATGATGGACCAGTATGATGCAGAGATTTCCGGATTGCGAGCGCAAGAGGTAGAAGACGAACTTCTGTTTGGGGACGATTCTACATGGAGCAAGAAGGCAGTTGCCGCCATCAACGAGGCGAAGTCCAAATTAGATGGCATCGGGAACCCTCCAGAGAATGTTGAGCGACAATTTGTCAGCCTACCATCGCAAGGTGAAAATGCCATGAATTCTACCTTACAAGATGCTGCACAATCAGGCAAAGGCTCAGCTGCAGAATCTTTTCCATCTGAAGGCGAAGGTCTTGACGGGACCTTGGAGAACAAGGTTACTGCCAACGATGCGGAGCGTGCGACCGAGGCGCTCGATCAGCTCGACCTAAATTCGACCGGCTCAAAGAACAAAAAGAGAGATCTCGGGACCGGCCGTGGCCCTGAACACCCGTTTTACTTCTACCAAGCTCTACCTCATTTTTATCTTTCCCCGCTGGACATTCGCATTCTTAAGGCCGCCTTTGGTGATTATCCTTCGTTCCCTGCCACTATTCTACCACGGGTTGAACGAATTTCTACTGGGCATATTGTCGACGACGAACTTCGAAAAAGGGTCAAATATCTCGGTCATCTCCCCTATGGTTGCGAAGTGAACTTCCTTGAATGTGATTGGCGCGATGTCGTTCAGCCCGAGATTCTACAGGAGTTCAAGTCTGAAACCGACAGGCGGAGAAAGCGGAATCGAGATAAAGAGGCCCGAGAAGAAAAGGATCGCATCCGTGCTGAGCGGGAAGAAAATGAGAAGGGTTGGGCCTCTGCGTACCGAAAAAGACTTAGTGTTGGTAGCAGCAGTGACCCTCCGTTTTCTGACCGTGATTTCCAGCCTTTAGCAAGCGGCGCTTCAGGCCTTGAGATGTCTCCTCCGGAGGAGGGTCTAGAGTCTTCATCAACAAGCCCACCCAGCAGTCGAACGGTCTGGGGCACGGCAGCGGTGACACCTCTTTCGCAGCCATCCAGCTCTCAGGCAGCCGCTTCTGATGGCTGGCTTCGAGGCTGGGAAGAAGAGCTCTGGGCCCAACAAGAACGAGAGGCCCTTGCTCAATCAGCTGCTGAGGGGGCCAGTACACCCGCCTCCTCTTCGGGTGGGAAGAAAAAGAAAAATAAAAAGATCACACTCATGTCGACTAACATCCAAAGAGGTGCTTGACTGCTCAGGCTCTCATGGATGGGATTTCGGTTCAGGGAGCAAGGGGACATGTGGGACATGGATCAGGAGTCACAAGGCAAATTCGCATGTAGACACCATCTGTTTAAACTTATGTATGATCAATGATAAATATACATTTCTGTATCTCATCTATAGTGGATATATTGTACTGTTCAATGCGAACACAAAGGACAGGAGTGTACTTTGAAGTTGCCATAGTCATGAATAGAGCCCGTGGGAGATGCAGTCTAAGTCAGCCAGGCCAATCATAGCGTGTGAGTCGGTTAGTGTGCGTCTTTAGCCAGGTGTTCAGATCCTTTCCCCTGCAGATCCCACTAAGTATTGGATGAGTGCAGACTAACCAGAGGCTTGAAAGGCCATTGTTTGTAGGAAGCAGTGTTATGTGAACTTTCAATGAGAGTACCGTTCAACCATGAGAAGAAACATGTTGCTGAAGCTATAACTAACCGAGTAGTTGTAGTACTCGTAGTGTAACTTATAGTTCCTATGTACGGTGTACTATGTATGTACTGTACTGTAGAAATGCTACCGCACGGGTAAAGAACCCACTCAGTCTTAGTCTAGTGTCTCCCCGACCCTGATGAGCACTGGGCACTATTGTTCTTCTTCCTCGATCGCCCCATCATTCTCTCTTTCCCCCCCTCTCTTCCCTACCTCCCCTCTCTTTGTACGATATTAGCTCTGTGGGGTGCTTCCTCTCAATCGTTCCCTCGTACCTACACTCGAGATTATTATTAAACTCAATTGACTGCATGGTCCGCGCACAATGACCGTGACTCGTTCCCAAACGGGGAAAACCCCCAAGTAAGTGATTTGTTGTTTTGCGCAAGGGTGAAAATCTCCCCATAAGGAATTCGACTGCCTACGCAGATTAAATACCTCAAGCCCTCCCTCTCTCTCTCCCTTCGCTTCGTCTTCACCTGCGCGCATAACAGCTTCGCGGCCACTTTGAGCTCACAGAAGGATCAATGGCTAGGAAAATGGAGCGTCCTGGCTTCATCGAGACCCCCGGTCGCCGCGTCACCCGCAGCAGCGTTGCGCCATCCGACGACACTTCCGATTCAGCAGCAGATGCTTCAGGACAAGCCAAGTCATCGTCTCGAAAGCGCTCCTCCGCCAAGGTCAAGATCGAGGATACCTCGGATGAAGAGACAAACACGCCCGCGACCAATCGACACGCCGCCATTTCGAATGGCAAGAAGCCACGCATCATCGATGGCTGGGAGGAGGGCAAGGACTCCAAGGTCGATCACAGCGGGCATTTCGAGTTTGGAGGGTCTTTGGGTGTATTGTGCATGATGATCGGATTCCCGATGCTGATGGAATACATGTGGCTCGGTGCCACCTATTACGATGGCAAACCGCCGCTTCCTGAACCGGGCCAGAGCATCCCTGAGTTCTTTGCGCATCTTGGTAACCTGCTCTATGTGGGTGCGTTCCCGTCGCTGAAGGCATGGGCGATATATTGGGTATTTTTCATCTTTGAGGGGGCTTGCTACGTGCTTCTCCCAGGTATCACCGTTATGGGTCGTCCTCTGCCGCACCTTGATGGCAAGCAGCTCCCTTATTACTGTTCCGCCGTCTGGTCCTTCTACACGACAATCGCCTTGGCCTTGGGACTTCACTTCACCGGCATTTTCAAGCTTTACACGATCATCGATGACTTCGGACCTCTCATGAACGTGGCCATTCTCTCTGGTTTCATTGTTTCATTCGTCGCTTACTTTTCAGCATTGGCTCGAGGCGCCGAGCACCGTATGACTGGGTATCCCATTTATGATTTCTTCATGGGTGCCGAGCTCAACCCAAGAATGTTTGGTATCCTGGACTTCAAGATGTTCTTCGAAGTCCGCCTACCATGGTATATTCTTCTGTTCGTCACTATGGGTGCAGCTGCCAGACAATATGAAATATACGGATATGTATCGGGAGAGGTTGGCTTCCTTCTCATGGCTCATTTCCTCTACGCCAACGCCTGCTCTAAGGGCGAGGAGTGTATCGTTTCCACATGGTGAGTTTTCGGTTCGGGACGCTATCAGCATATCAGGCTAATGAGGAATCAGGGATATGTACTATGAGAAATGGGGTTTCATGTTGATTTTCTGGAACCTTGCCGGAGTGCCTCTGAGCTACTGCCACTGTACCATTTACCTTGCCAACCACGATCCCGCTACCTATCGCTGGAACCGGCCTTTCCTGGTGTTCCTCTATGTCGCGTACCTCTTCGTGTACTGGGTCTGGGATACGACCAACAGCCAGAAGAACCGCTACCGCCAGCAGGAGCGTGGTACTTTGGTGTTCCGCAAGAGTTTCCCTCAGCTCCCTTGGCAAACACTGAAGAACCCCAAGACCATCACAGCTGAGGACGGTTCAAAGATCCTTGTTGATGGTTGGTGTAAGTTTCGCAGCGGAACCCCGACATGAATTATAAATCATGCTAATCTTTTCACAGACGGAAAGGCGCGCAAGATCCACTACACCTGCGACCTGTATTTCGCATTAAACTGGGGCTTGATCACCGGCTTCAGCAGCCCGTTCCCATGGTTCTACCCCATCTTCTTTGCATGTATGATCAGCCACCGCGCACTGCGCGATATTCAACGCTGTCGGAACAAGTATGGCGAGGCGTGGCGAGAGTATGAGAGACAGGTTCCCTACCTGTTCATTCCTGTAAGTTGCCTTTTGAGATCTCTTTCTTTTACATGGAACATCAACTTATCAAGCGAATTAGTACGTCTTCTAAACGACTTCATGCACTGGAAATCTCCATCGGTACATTGACCATCTCTTTGTAAGGCCGACCTGCGCCGACAAAGATGATCTTGTCAACACTTCGACCTTGGCTCTTCTTACGAGCTCTATTAATACACTCTTGTAATCATCATTCCCGGCCTAATCCTGGAAACTCCACTCTGTCACTGACTGCTACCCAGTGTGGCAAATCAGACTACTGATGGGTCTGCCAGTGTAGGCTCTATCTTTCTGGCTTGTGTTATTTCTACTTCCATGAAAATTATACAATTCCTGTACATTATTAGAATGTTGTTCTTGGTTGTCTCCGCTTTCGCCATTTTTTGATCATCTACGTGGCTTACGGCCTTCTTCGAACTATTTGCCTGTGTTTTTTCAAGATACCAATGTACATTCTAAAGCATCCTAAGCCACCTTAACATGACTGGCGGGTGCATATATGCACTGTAGCACTGAACATGAAATTGGGCCGATGGTATGCTGATCACGTGACCGACCCTCCAGGCTTATCGGTCGGCAATCAGTCCGGAGCTGCAACCCCGCCGAGCTAGCTATTTATCCAGCTGCTGGAGTCTTGCTCGGACGAAGGTTGTATTCAATCAGGAAGCGATTGGCATTCTGTTTGCGTATCTGTAACGACTCTCTCATCATGTTGATTCAAGAATCCTACCACGATGTGCCTACCACGGCGGACGGCAGTGGGACCATGCGTATGTTATAGAACTCACGCAACCAACGTTCATTGTCGGCTCCTACCCATGGGAAGGAGCTCTCCTATGATACCGAACTTGAACACCGAGGGTGAGAGTGCTAACGTGTACACTGTTAGGTATTTACGTCTATCATCCCACCATTCCAGGATATCCCAAGGCACGGTTCCCGGGTGTGGTAGTTTTCAGTGAGATCTATCAAGGTATAATTCCCCCCGCCTTATCGAGCCCACTGTAGCCCCGAGCAACATCACCCGCCGTTGAGCTGGGCTCTTGTTCCACTGTACCTGAGCCCAATCCGTTGACATGGGTTCTCAAAATCAGTCACCGGCCCCGTGGCGCGCTTCGCCCGTCAAATTGCCGGTCAGGGCTATATCTGCGCCGCCCCCTCTAGCTACCACGAATTCACCGGTCCGGAAGCCCTTGAGTATAATGCCGAGGATACTGACAAGGGAAATGAGTGGAAGATCAGCAAGGTAACAGCAGAGTTGACATGATTTGAGGAGACTGTGCGCATGCTAAATCCCGGTGACAACAGAAAATCGCCGCCTACGACGAAGACGCCTCTCTCTGTGTGGACTACCTCCTGTCACTGCCCACGTGCAATGGACGTGTGGGCGCAACGGGAATGTGCCTGGGTGGCCATCTGGCATATCGGTGTGCGCTGGATAGCCGGGTGAAGGCGGCAGTGTGCTATTTTGCGACCGACATCCATAGCCACACGCTTGGGAAGGGTAAGAACGATGACAGTCTGGCCCGCGCCGGAGATATCAAGGGAGAGTTGACTATGGTGAGTTCTTGTCTTGCTTCGAATATTGAGAAGGGGG